TTGTTGTCTGTCTTTAAAACAGCCTTGGTTCGGGCGGCGGGGGGGGGGTGTTGTTCTGGAGACTCTGCAGCTGCCCAACTCTCCCAGCTTTCCATGGACTCTATTCATACAGGATCCGGGAGAGGCCCGTGCATAGTTTGCCATAGGATGGGGCCAAAAGGATCATATCACAGTTTCACCCCCACCCCGTCCAAGTAATGGCAGGGGCTCAGAACATTTGGAGAGAGGCAACCTCTTGGAGTTTTATTTTTTATTATGATGTTGCATCTAGAAAATCTGAGTGGTGCAGTTGGCAGAGAATGTCACTGTGCCTACTTCTCAGACTGGCATTTAGCCTTCCTATCTTTTGGCACCTTGTGTGCTAGACTGGCGGGTCCTTTGAGACATGTGAGTGTCCTCCGTGCCAGTCAGCCTCTTTCTGCTTCTCCCAGATATTGTAGTGTAATGATTAGAGGGTCAGACTGGGATCTGGGAAACTCCAGGTTTGAGTCCCCCCCCCCCCCCCCGGAAGCTTACTAGATGACCTTGGGCCAGTCACACACAATTGGCCTAACCTTCCTCGCAGGGTTGTTGTGAGGCTAAAAGGGAAAAGAGAAGAATGACATAAACTGCTTTGGGTCCCCACTGGGGGCAAAGCAGGGGAGGGTATAAATGAAGTGAATCAATATTCCAAACCTGGTGAATCCTGCCGCCGAGGCGCACCCCCCCTGAAGTTCCTTCGACCTTATATTTCATCCACTGAGAAGCTGCTGAATGTAAACATAATAAAGCCTTAGAACTGTGTTTTCCCTATGTAGTTTGTCTGGCAGAGGGAGCTCTGCTTCCAGGTTGTAACTGACAGTGTCTGTCAGGAAGAGAACAGGATCACTAGAGCTGCCCCACCGAAAACACCGTAACACCTGAGTGCTACAAATGAATGCTAAGTTTTTTTCCCCAAATAAATTTTATTAACATTTTGTATACAAATCAACAAATCCAATAGGAAGGTCAAAATACAAACATAGCTGTTACCAACCTTAACCAACAACATTACAGAACAGAGTGGACATTATACAGTGTTTTTGTCAATTATACAGTAATAGATTATATTTACCTTTGCTAATGGTTTCCCAGTCAAACTTTTCAATATTAATTTTGTCTAATAGAGGATACCAATCATGAAGCGGACTTATCAATTCGCATTCTGTTTGAGTTTCCAAGTAAAACATGTTAACATTTTCTAATAGGAACAGGTCCCACACCTTATGTAGCCAATTCTGTAAACATGGGGGATTGGGGTCCTTCCAATGTTTGGCAATGACTATTTTTGCCGCAGTAAGTAGCGTGCCAATCATTTTCATAGAGGAAAGGGATGGTAAGTCAGAGGGCCAGAGGTTCAGTAAAAGTAATGCTAAGTTAGAAGCCTTGGAAAACAGAATGGGTGAGAGGTTTGCGAAAATAAATGGCAACCTCACTTGCAAAATGGGAGCAGTATGGATGATTCAGGTTGGCTCTCTTCCATCTGTTGGGGCTGGCAGGTATTGTTGCTAGCTACAGGCGTGGAGTCTGCTGAATCCTCCTGATCTCCAAACCACACCTGTCTGTAATGGTTTCCAAACTGCTTTTCTTCCTAAACCATGTCATTCTACCAGAGCGCTTATTTAAGTAAATAATATACTGTGGGTTTTTTCCTGGAAGACTGAGGTCCCAATGGCCGTGTCACTTTCTCCTTGCAAACAATTGTGGGGTTAAAAGAAATTGGGTTGCCCGCTTCCAGTGTGCGGCTGGATAGGGGGATTTGAACCCAAGACTTTGAACAGTTTTGCAGCTGCCGAGACTGTGAACTGAAACAGAGATCTTGTCAGGAGGGAGGAGGGGGTCCTAGGCGCTTGGTTTCGGTAGCACTCAAAATTTTGCTGGGTTGCATCCTGCACCTGGCATGCATGATTCAGTTCCAACAGTCGGCATTGCCCCCTCCTAGGAAAAGCCTTTTATTTTGTTGTGGTTTCTTTGTGTGTGTCTGGTCTGAGTGATAGCAAAGCTTTGTGAATAGGTCCCCCAGGAAACGCTTGTTCAAATCCAACCTTGCTGTCTGTATCCAAGTTGTATTTCTGTTCCACCAGTAAAAATTCTTTAACTGATGAGTTTGCATTTTTCTTCCCTGAACTAGAAGAAACCAGTCTAGTGGTGGTGTGTTTGTGGAGAGGTAGTGCCTTTAATGTTTCTGATAAAGCGTTGAATTTTCTTTTGATTCTTCTCCCCTTCCAAAAGGGCTTCCTGTTAAGCTTTACCCCATGAGAGGGGCGAACACCCTCCAGTCCATAACAATACTGAGCATTTGCATAGTGCTTTCAGTGTTCAAAGGCCCTTCACCTGCCATTATCACTGTAATAATCCCTAACAATGGGCACGTAAGGTAGGCCAGAATTGTTACCCCCCAGCCTGCCAAAGACACTCAGAATGGCTTTCTTAGTGAGTTTGTTTCAGGTAGGTAGCTGTGTTGGTCTGAAGCAACAGAACAAAGTTTGCGTCCAGTGGCACCTTTAAGACCAACAAAGTTTAATTCTGGGTATAAGCTTTTGTGTGTGCATGCATGCTTTTTCAGATACAGTTTTAGTGAGTTTGTGACTGAGATGAGATTTGAGCCTGTGACCTCTTGGCTCCTAGTACATGCTGTATGGGATGTGATCTTCCCCAGAACAGCCAGTCTTGTTCCTGCAGGTGGCATAGCTGTGGTTGTTCCTGTACCCGGCGGTTCTGCTTTCCCCGCTGATCTCCTCCCTTGACCTTCTGTGCTGTGAAAGCTTGACTTTTGCTTCTTGTGGGTGTGCGTGAAGCCCCTGACTTCTAGTCTTGGCTGTATGCGTGGGGGTGGCGAACGTCTGGTTCCTCAACCCTCTTCCTCCCCGAAAGGCTCCCATTGAGGTGCGGCATCTGGCCTCTTCAGATGCCTTCCGCACAGTCTGGTTGCAAGCGGTTCCAAGACTCCTTGGCTCTTGTCCATCCCACTGAAGTGACTTCTGCACCCAGCATGCTTGCACTGATGGTGTGTGTGTGCACGCGCATGTTTGCAACGGTTGCTGTGGGCAGCCTATGGGGTGTGTAGAGATCCGTGTCTGCATCCTTTCAAAGCGGGAGGGCCGGAAGGGCAAGAGGAGGTGCTTGGAAAAGATAGGACCCTTTCCTTTACACCTGTGTTTCTCCTCCTAATCACATCTGCTCCCTAACAGAACTTCCCCATCAATGCTGCTTTTTCTCTTTAACAGTGAGTCGGTGGGTAGGGAGTGATTTCTCTTTAAAATTTCTGGTGCCCGGGGCTTCATAAATAAAAAACATGCTGGCTTTAGTGCAGCAGATGTCCGGTAAACTTCTGGTGCCCTTGCTCTTGTTTATTCTTTTTCCTCCCCCTTATTAGATGATAGCCTTGACCTGGATAGCCCAGGCTAGCCCGATCTTGTCAGATCTTGGAAGCTAAGTAGGGTCGGCTCTGGTTAGCACTTGGATGGGAGACCCACCAAGGGATACCAGGGTCACTGGGGCAGGCAGTGGCAAACCGCCTCTGCACATCTCTTGCCTTGAAAACCCTATGGGGTCATCATAAGTTGGCTGCGATTTAATGGCAAATAAATAAATTAGGTGATAAGCTTTTCTCTCCGGAGGTAGGGCAGGAAGGCAGGGATGTGTGATAGAAAGGACTCACTCACCTGCAAGCTTCAAATGGATGGGTTTCTCTATCTGGGAGCTCAGAGTGGGTTACGGCCGTTCTTGGAGACACTTGTTTTTATCCCCTGCCCTGAGTTGAAATGATGCAAGGGCATATGGGGGCTTTAAAAAAGAGAGGTCAAAGAAATGACATTTTGGTAGGCTAAAATGAAGGGTTGCTAGTTCTGCATTCTCTCCCACCTAAGCGCGATCTAGGCAAAATACTGGGAGTTCTGTGGGCCAGTTTGGTGTAGTGGCCAAGTGCACGGACTCTAATCTGGGAGAACTAGGTTTGATTCCCCACTCCTCCACTTGCAGCTGCTACTTGCAAGTCATAGTTCTGTCAGAGGTGTTCTTGAAAAAGAGCAGTTTCTGTCAGACCTCTCTCAGCCCCATCTACCGCACAGGGTGTCTGTTGTGGGGAAGGGAAAGGAGTTTGTAAGCCACTCTGAGACTCCGAGCGAAGGGCGGGATATAAATCCAATCTCTTCTTCTTCTTTTCTTGTGTCTGAACCTCTGAACATTTTTAAAAAACCAGATTGCCAGCTGTGACGGAGCCTCGCTTGGACCAGAACCGTGAGTGAGGAGGAGGTTTAGACCAGGCATTGGTAAATTTTCTTGGGCTGTATATAATCCAGCCCAAAAAATTAGGAGCCAGACTCATGTTTCAGTTTTCAGGATTATGTAGGGCTCTGTTTTCTAATTATTGCTACCACAAAAGAATACTAGGTGCCACAGTGCAATTTCTAGGAGCCATGGCAACCTGGCACCTGAGATTTGTCAAGCCCTGGTTTAAGTGTTTCCCCTACTGGAACTGTTTTCCCAATCTAAAACATCCCTGGAGAGCCACTAGTGGCCCCGATGGGTATTAATATTATAATTCTGGATAGGTTGCTGTTAGTCTACAGGGGCAACATAAAGCATCGTTCCCGCGGCACCTAATGGAGCAATCCTAAACTGAGTTACAGCTTCCTTAATCCATTGAAGTGAATGGGCGCAGAAGGGTGTCACTGTTCTTAGGATAATAAATCAGGAGCCCAGTGGCACCTTTAACAACTAACAGTGGTTTCCAACATAAGCTTTTGGAGAATGAGAGCTCTCTCCGCCAGATGTATTGAAGTCCGTCCCTTCAGTGCCTTTGTGTTCATGACACTAAGTTGTGTTGGATTCCCCCTTTTGAGGTTCTTGTGTAGGAGAACAGTAACTTTAAGACAGGGGTGGCCAAACTTGCTTAACTTAAGAGCCACACAGAATAAACATCAGATGTTTGAGAGCTGCAAGACATGAACAAATATTACACATACTTTTTAAATTGAGAAATATGCAAATTTGCTTTTTATTAACATTAAACAAGACCACCAAAAATAAAAACAAATGGGGTAAAAACAGATATTTATAATGATATTTATTTGTTTGCTAATGATATTTATTTGTCTAAGAGAGAAAGAGAGAGGTGGAAAGAAAGAATGAAAGAGGTGGAAAGAAAGAAAGAGAGAGAAACAAAGAAAGCAAATAGATGGGGGAGGGAGGAAGGAAGGAAGGGAGACAGAAAGAAACAGAGAGAAAAACAAAGAAAGCAAATAGATGGGGAGCCTGCCGGGAGCCACACAATATGTGTGAAAGAGCCGCATGCAGCTTTTAAGCTACAGTCTGGCCACCCCTGCTTTAAGATCTGCAACTGAAGACCCTGGAAGATTAACATATTCATTCACTGGTTTCTGAACATTGTGATATCTTGTAGATATTAAAGTGGGCACTCTGACCTGGATGGCCCAGGCGAGTCTGAACTTGGAAAGCGAAGCAGGGTCAGCCCTGGTTAGTACTTGGATGGGAGGCCACCCAGGAAGTGCAGCACAGAGGCAGGCGATGGCAAATGACCTCTGCTCATCTCTTGCCTTGGGAATGCCATGGTGTCACCATAAGTCGGATGTGACTTGATGGCACTTTACACAACGCCACTCTCCTGATTTGGTGGGAGGTGGTGCATGGAACACCAGAGGAACGTGGACCTCTGATGTGTTCTTCACCTGAATTCTTAAAAAAAAAAGGCAGAAGATTTTCTGATTACAACCTCTTCTGTCCAGGATGCGCTGCTGCAAGCTCTTGTGACTGCTACAAAGGGGAAGTCAGGGCTGTAGCCACGGTTTTCCAGTTTGTGGGGCAAATTTTTTTCTTCTGGGGCATACACACATACTATTCAGCCAGAATAAACAATGCATCCTCCGTTCCCAAACAGTTTGGCATGGTGCGGGAATGCCGTGGGGCTTGCCAGCCACAAGAGAGAGGCACAAAAAAATAAAATAAAAAAATGGGAAGTGGGGGGAGGGCTGAGCTGGATGGGAAGTCAGGGGGGCCTTGGCAGTAAGTTAGGGAGCTGGACCCCGAGAGGCCCCACTGTAGCTATGGGCTTGGGGAAACGATCAAAGAAGGCTCACAGTGTGCTTCTTTCTGGAAGAATGCTTGGGAAACACAAAGCAGAGGGGGGGGGGGAGAAACACTCACCTGGGCAGACGGCAGGCTTTCTCCATCTGACCTGTTTACTTGGAGTGTGTATGTGCATATTCATTAATGATTAAGTTAAACTTCCAAGTTGTCTGTGTGACTGTTTGGAATAAATGACGTGTGGCCTGGACCAGCCAGGCACAGCCAACCCTGCAGAGGGAGAGGACTCTGTGGAAGAGGAACAGGCAGACGAAGGAGTTCCCAACTCACCGTCACTTGCAGAGGACCTGCTGCAGAAAGGTACTGCGACCCAGCCAAGTAGCAATTCACAGTCTGACAGTAGTTTCCCAGCTGTTCAGGCCCGTGGCCCAGAAACGGATTGCATCCCACCATCCACCTCGCCTAACCTTGTCTCCAGAGCTGCTGGAGCACAGATGGAGGAGGGTCCACCCCGAGATGCTGGAAAGCAGGCAGAGTGCGCAGTCAGCAGCTCAGAGACAACTGGGTCTAGTTAGTAAGGAGGGGAGAGCGCACGCACCTACACAATGCGACCCAGCTGTGAGACGAGTGTCTCTGCCATAAAGGGCGAAGAGGGGGAGAGACTGGCCGTGGAAGCAATGCATCAAATTACTTCTGACCTCGCTGCCACAGACCATCTCTGACGTGTGACTTTGACTCTTTGGGCTGTATCTGGATGTTGACTTTTGGATTTGCCCTGAACCCACTCCCGTTGCTGACTTCGTTCTATGCCCTAGGAACTAAACTCTGACCATGCTGCGCCAGATTGTGCCTTCGCTTTGCCTTGCTCGCACCTGAGCTTCACTACTTAGCCCTATGCCTAGGGGGTACCAGCACAATGTGTGTATTCAAAGTCTGACAGCCTTAGGTTAGAAATGGGACTTGACTCGGTCTGCAGAGATGGCACAATCCTTTTCCCCGTCAGGTTTTGAAGGGAGTTGGGCAATTGACCTTGGAGGCAGCTTCAGCTTTGGTGGTTCTGGGCTTATTGGTCTATTTTGTGTGTGTGTTTTATTTTATTTTACTTTATTGATATCCTGCCTTTATCCCCAATGGGGACCCAAAGTGGCTTACATCATTCTCCTCCATTTTATCTTCACAACAACCCTGTGAGGTAGGTTAGGCTTCCATAGCAGAGCGTTTTGAGGCACTCCAATAGTAATTTATGGCTGGGCTGAACCCGCTGGGGAGTGAGATCAAGAGCCACAAAGAATGCTGAAATGACACCTCTTTATCGGGGCTGTCAGAGATGATGGGACAGGTTTGGGGGGTCACATGAAGCTGCCTTATACTGACCCAGACCATCGGTCCATCAAAACAGTATTGTCTACTCAGACCGTCAGCAGCTGTCCAGGGTCTCAGGCAGAGGTCTTTCTCATCACCTACCCCCCCCCCCCCCCACCTTCCTTTTAAACTGAATATGCCAGGGACTGAACCTGGGACTTTCTGCATGCCAAGCAAGCAGATACTCTGCCACTTGGCCATGGCCCCTCGGAGACTGGGTTGGAACCCAGGTGTCTGGTCCCCTGCCTCGTAACATTCCCTTGTTCCAAAACCTCTCGCCCTTTAAGAAAAAATGTAGGCCCTGTGGTTGCATCTTAGCAACCTGTAGGGTTGTCTCGGCAACCGAATGCTGTGTCTGCTGCTTGCTTAGGGAAGCATGGAGCTGACTCCCAGTGGACCCTCCACCTCTGGAACCTTACAGTGAGATTTCTGCACCTCTCTGTGTGAACTAAGCAACCGTCCTGGGTGGAACTGACTTCCCGCTTGGATAGCGTATCTCCATTGCAGGGGCATTTGAGCTTGTGTTGGGAAAGGTAATACAGGGATTGGCCCTTCTGGCAAGAATCTTGGGTCGTGGTGGGATTCTAGAAGACGGGGACTCCTCTCAATCCTATCCATTCCAAGAAGTGGTGAGATGGGGGCGTGGGCTGAATGCCAGCTGTTCTGCCCTTGACATCTCTGTGCTTCTGTGGTACACTGATCGTGAGGGGGGAAAATCTAGAATGGCACTTGTTGGTGTACAAAAACTATTTGCTTGCCTGTTGAGGTACCGGTTTCTGGTAGTGATTAACTCGATCCTCGTTCTGTACACGTAGCACATTCCTGACCCCATCTCTCTCTCTCCCCCCCCCCGTTTCCTCATTCCTCTTCGCACCAACAGTGTTCCCACTTCCTGTTTAAGTTGGCTTCTGGGCCTTGGCTTGGAATGACAGTGTTACATTGCTGTGCTGAATGCCAGGTTTTGCCTCTCTCTCTCTCACACACACACCACCTCTCTTGGGTTTTGCGCTGGGTGTAAACCTTCTTCCTTCTTCACTTTCTGTGATTCCTTACAGAACCTCCCATGGACCGAGCAAGTGTTGAGTTTCAAGGATCAGGATGTCCCAGACCTTGCTGAGCGAACCGAACTACACGTTCTGAGGTGGGTGTCGTTTGGCATGTTTCTTCTGAGCTTGGATGCTGAGTGTTCAAAGAGGACTCCCATCTGCAGGTGGTAGACACTTTCCCTCATGGAGTGCCCATTCTAGGTAATTCCTCTGCTCTTCTTACATATTTATGTACTTCCTTAATCGTCTGCCTTTCTCGTGTTCGTGGACTCGCTCCCGCCCCCGAACGAATGTTCGGAAGACTTGGCAGTAGCTGTTGAATGATTGTGCCCCGAAGAGGGCAGGAGTTCTCCTGGGGTGGGTTAGGGGTTGCTTCTGTTTCACGGCCATTCATGTTGACTCTTGAAACGTAATCTGTATGTTGTCGCTTCTTCCTTCTTTAAAAATGCTAGTGTTGCATGCTGGGAAACCTTCTCCCATGCCTTGAGCTTGGATCTCTTGGTATTTTGCGTGGACAGGATTGGTCCATGGAATGCAACCTCCTTGCCTCTTTTTTTCCCCACTGCAGTCCAAAGCGCCACCTGAAATGGGGCTCCAGAGGGGGACAGAGGACTCATGGAAACAGCCTGAGGGGGAGAGATGGAGGTTTGTAGTAGGAGGGGAGAGCTGGTAAAATTATCTGCCCTCTTCATCTGGGGAAATCCTCCAGTGGACAGCTGGGGAATGTGCATATCTCCCTTGCAGGGTCATTGGAGCTTGTGTTGGGAAATACAATGTGGGAATCGGCCCTTCTGGATTTGTCTGTCGAGAGCACCAAGGGTGTTACAGGTGCTGTGGTCCCTCTGCGCCTCTCTTTGCTTTGATGCAAACTGCCATGTCTGCTTGGGCTGTCGATGCTCTCCCTCCATGAACCTTCTCTTTTTCTGAGACAGGCAAGGAGGGGCTCTGTGCTGCACACTTAATGACCGGGAAATTGCGCAACCTTTGCTGGTAATTCTTATTTGGGAGCAGGCAAAACTGTTGCTCCAGTGCCGTCTCAGGAGCCAGCAGACTCTCATGCTGGGCTTGCCTGTTCCGTGGTGACGGAAACAAAACGTGGTATCTAATGTGAGCAGATATTTGGATTAAGCTTTTCAGGGACGGCGGTCTGGGAGGAAGGGGGACATTAGGCCAGATGGTTTTAAATGCGGGGCGGGGTGGGGGTGGAAGGAACGGAAGATCGGTTTTTGCTTCGGCATCTGTTCCCACTGTTCATGCATGGAATCCTCCCTGCTCCAAATTGGTGTGAGTTCTGCATGAGCTGGTACATTCACACTTTCATATGTCTTCCCCTTCTCTTGGATTTTTGCTCCTCCCCACTTCCTGTTGGCTACACCTGTGCAAGCCACAATGAAAAGGCATGTTAAGCTGTTTTAATTTAGATATTTGTTCCCCACTTTCCTCCTCAGTAGGGGACCCAAAGCAGCATACAACATTGTTTGTTCCTCCATTTTATCCTCACAACTCTAAGAGGTAAGTTAGGCTGAGAGTGTGTATAATTGGCTCAATGTCACCCAGGGAGCTTACACTGCAGAGTAAGGATTTGAACCTGGGTCTCCCAGATCCAACACTCTACCCACCATGCTGGCTGTGTGCACCTTTGGATGAACGCTGGACACTCGATACCTTCTGTGACAGAAGCTCTTTAACAGTTCCTTCTTGTAGATCCATGGAGGATCCCATCTGGTGTGATTTCTGTGAGGCCCAGAAGTCATGGGAACTTATAAAGCTGCCTTATACTGACCACTGGTCCATCACAGTCAGTATTGTCTACTCCAGGGCTCCCAAACCTGCTTGAGCCTGTGGGCGCCTTTGGATTTCTGACACAGCGTGGTGGTCACTGCCACAAAATGGCTGCCACACAAAGCGAAGACAGGAACAAAATGGCTGCCGTGGCTTACTTTCAGTCACACAGTAACTATCCTTGTGCTGTAGTGGTAGCTGCTGCCAAAGCAATGTTGTTAGAAATCTGCACAGCCAATCACAAGCATTGCTAGCCCCACCCAGCTGACCGTGCCCACTTTCTAAAAACACTTGGCAGGCCCCAGGAAAGGTGTTGGCAGGTGCCACAGCACCCACGGGCACTATGTTGGGGACTTCTGCCACTCAGACTGGCAGTGGCTCTCTAGGGTCTCAGACAGAGGCCTTTCCCATCACCTGCTACCAGATCCATCAGCTGGAGATGCCGGGGATTTAACTTGGGACCTTCCGCATGCCAAGCAGATGTGCTGCCACTGAGCCAGAGCCCCGCCCCTCTGGAGAAGAGAAAAAAGAGAAAAGAGATTGGATTTATACCTCACCCTTCCCCTCCCCATGACAGACACCCAGTGAGGTAGGTGGGGCTGAGAGGACTGCTCTTGAGAGAACAGCTCTGAAAGGACTTGTGGCTGACCCAAGGTCACACCAGCAGTTGCATGTGGAGGAGTGGGGAATCAAACCCGGTTCTCCCAGATTGGACTCCACGCTCCTAACCACTACACCAGACTGGCTCAACAGAACATATTGTGTTTCCTTGCAAGTGTTGGCACTCTGAATGCACTGTTGGTTTCTTCCTGGAAACAAAGTGGTCAGCTCTTTCTCCACACCTGACTCAGACTTACCTGGACATGGACAAAGAGTTTTTGTGCTGGTCCTGTTGTAACAGAATGTTCTTTTTGTTTGAGGCACAGCTCTTTTAAGGATAGGCTCCCACCCAAGTCTTTCCTATTTTTGTCCTGTTTGCCACTTATATTGCGTGCCTTCCATCACGGAACTCGTAAACATCTGCTTATTAAAACAGAAATCACCGCTGCCTTGTGCCGTTCACCCAAACCCGCCTCCCTTTTGTCCCAGGATGCGCATCAGTCATGAAAATGTGTTTACAGCCTCCAGTGGTTTTAGTGGTATAAGTGGAAGGAGTAGCGTTCTAAGGTGGGCTGCTGCCAGCAGGGCCCAGAAGGCCAGTTTTGCGACAGTTTGAAGAAAGCGGCTGGGAGAAAAGAGAACATTGACACCAGATTGTAGCACCGGAGATGACAGTCCCTCTGAGCCTGTGCAGTTACAGAGTTGTGTTCAGAGTGGAAGCCCAGGATGGTGTTGGCCCGGAAGCCAGACTCAGATCAAGCTGGAATAGAAGCATCACTGGAGGGTGTTTTAAAAAAAGCAGAAACCCAGCTATGACCCTTTTATTGACAAAAGAAACTAAATGCCTCTTGTACCTTCAGAGTGGCTCTTTCCGACAGAATCATGGGTTAGTTCCTACATTTTGTTTCCACTTCCTTCTCCGTCTAAGAACTGAGATTCTGTAGACAAGCTGGTTGCCTCACAAAACTCAAATATCAGTGTGGTGTAGCAGATAGAGTGCTGGACTAGGATCTGGGAGGTTCGAATTCCCAATCTGCCAAGGAAGCTCACTGGGTGACTTTAGGCCAATCACACACACTCTCGGCCTAGCCTACCTCGCAGGGTGGCTGTGAAGGAGGAAAGTGGAGGGGGGGGAGTGTAACTGAATAAACAAACATTATGACCTGGCATGACAGCAAGTAATATTTCCCCCTGCCTGGGAGATAGTTTTCATTGTTAGAAGAAAGCCTCCTTTCCAGTTTTTTAAAATGATATAGCAGGGCCAAATAAAGGCACATTTCTGCTTGCTCTGGAGGTAGAAGCAGAGTTGTATGATGGATTCTCCGCGCCCCATCCTGTTTGTGTGCTATAAGCATCTTTCACCACAGGCAAATCACAAGGTGTTCCAGATGCCTGGGCCCTCGGCAGCAATTTGCCTTGTGATGTTGTATTTCCCAACTAACAGAACTGTGCATATGCAGTGTGTGTATGTGTGTGTGGGGAGAACCACACCCGCTCATAACAAGCACCATTGTTTCTAATTGTGCACATGGTGTGCCATGTGCATGGGCCATGGTGCTTCATACAGCGGCAGCCGCCAACGGGGCATGTTCCCAATTTACTGACTTTGTTTGGACTACATTGGCCCCACGGTCATCGTGGCAGGTCAGGATTCATTTTAAATCCACTACAGTTTGAGTACATGGGCTTGTACGGTCAGCGGCATTCATTGTATTCGTGCACATTCAGAACTGATTGGCTCAAACTCCTGGGTGACAGTGTGAGATCTCGCCAAAGTATTTGTGACCCAAATTGGAAAACACAAAGTATTTGTGACCCAAATTGGAAAACACAGTGCATACAAATAGGCCCGGCTTATTGGGGTGGGCAAAATGGGCACGGCGAAAATAGTTGGTGAGACATGCCACGCAGCTTCTCTCTCTCTCTCTCTCTCTCTCTCTTCCCCCCCCCCACCTCTGCTCCTAGGAAGATAAAGACAACTCAGGAAAGTACCCGTTTGGTACAGATTTTTTTGTTTGTTCTATCAGGTGGGGTGAGCAGGCAGTGGGGAGGGGGAGAGATGGGGACAATCGGAAAGCCATCCGAGAGAGTGATGATTTCAGTACAACCTGGTGCCGTTCTGAATGGCTCACTAAAAAGCAAAGCCCTTTTGAAATTTTTTGATGCGTCTGAGGATGCCGCATGCAACTTGTGATCAAACTGCAATATGGGTAGCGGAGCACTGGTGCACCACTGCTGCATTTAGGGTAGTTTCGTATGAGGAGGGGGCATGGAGATCTTTCTCCGCACCTGGGCATTTCTGGCTTGGTGCCTGGATCGTTAATCTCAAGTAGGTGTTGAAGGAAGGGAGTGCTGGATCTCTCTCCTCCCCCCTGCCCCCCGGGTCCATTTCTCCCTGCGGTCTTTTTGCTCTAGTAAGCATTGCTTGGTGGTGGGAAGTGCCATCAAGTCGCAGCCAACTCATGGCAGCCCCGTAGGGTTTTCAAGGCAAGAGGTGAACAGAGGTGGTTTGCCATGGCCTGCCTCTGTGTGGTGATGCTGCGCTGTCCTTGGAGGTCTCCCATCCAAATACTAACCAGGGCCGACCCTGCTTAGCTTCTGAAATCTGATGAGACCGGGCTAGCCTGGGCCATCCAGATCCGGGCAAGCATTGCGTAACAGACTGAAAATGCCTTTTGTGTTAGGGAGTTTTGTCTTCCCGATAGCATCTTGGGCTGTTCTCCTGGGGATAAGAGCAACCTCCCGGGCTCCTGCTCACACCCAATCGAGAAATGCCTGGTATGGTGTTTGTAGGCTGCATCATGAGGAACCTCCTAAGAGAGCTGTACCCTCTTAGCGCTGGGCACTGCCTTGGGAAAGGGGATGTGTGTTTCAGAACCTGTTTCTCCAGTTGTGTTCTGGTGGGGTCAACTTCAGATCAGCGGCTGAAGGACCTCTTGTTCACAAAGGTTGACTGTGTTTCGCAATAAGGATGCACCGATAGGAAGAAAGGTAGTGGGAGGCGGTCTGTTTGCGAAATGGTTTCAGGTTCAGGGAGGTAAAAGGTGTTCTCACTTCTGTTAAGTGTCTTGTTTTCAGTTACTTGGTTTCCTCCCCTGTTTGCTAATCTTGGGACAGATTTTTTTAAAAAAATGTTTTACTTCACCCTGTTCTCTCCCCGAGGAGCTCAAGGCGCCATGGATGGTGTTCCTCCCCCTCCCCCTTCATCCTCACAACACCCCCTGTGAGGTAGGTTAGGCTGAGAGCGTGAGGTCACCCACTAA